CAAAATTAGCACAGAAACAGTACTATATAACATTTTAGACACATTCTAGACAGTTTATCAGCTAAAAAAGTTAATTTTGGGGTAAGTTACTCTTTAAGCTACTGTTTTATTAAATGCCCCCTTTTTTGGCTGTCATATTAGCAAATAGTTTAGCTTAATGTTTGTTTTTAGCTGTATTTTGGGGTTATGATTTGGAAACTTATGAGAATTAAGTCATCACATTAGCAACACTTGTACTCACTTGGAATATTGGTTCATTGGTCACATAACATTCAGTTAACTAAGGTAATAAGAGTATATGGAAGAAAAGACTTCTTGAGTGAGTTTGATAAGAGAAGAGAGGAACAACGTACATATATTTTGCATCGCTCCTCCATTACTTTGGTTTTTTCAAAAATGTTGATTGATTTTATTTTCTCAGGTAAAATAAATCTCTTCACACTGACACTAAGCTTCAAAACGTTAGGCAGCTGCTTTCAATCTGCAGCTTAAAATACCTGGAAATAAATAGACTTTTATCCCACGCATGTATGATACTATCTTTCAAACTGACTCAATTTGCACATCTGAGATGCTTTATTTTGCCATACTGACAAAGCTTTAGAAATGTGTTAAAAACACACACACCACCGAGACAGAAAAAAAAAACTTTCAGCATTCAAGCTGTTAATTGACTCTTCATCCAGGAATCAGATGCAACTGTGTGCTTTTATCACATCACGTGTAACTCAGCATTATTATTCATAGTCACACCAATATTACAGCTCGGATGTTTGCCTGTCTTCATGTTTTCTCCTTCAGTAAGGTAATTTTGGCAAGACTAACAACCCAGCGAGCGAGAGCGGCAGAGATTTTCTGTCTAACTGTCACGTCAAGAAAAAAGTGCAATGTAGGAAAAGGCTAAATCTTTTAAAAAAAGCAATACTGATCTTGGAACAGTCTGAAATGAGAGTTTAAGTTGGTTGCACTCATAGATAACAATTGGAAATTTATTAGAAGAAAGGAAAATAAATAAATTTGAGGCTTCATAAGAACAACAGTGGGTTTTATGAGAAAACCTGTAAGATTTTAACTAATTTAAAACACTCCTAAAGGTCATTTATTAAAACTAGTCCACTAAATGAAATATACATGGTTGTAAACATAAGGGGTAAAACAAACACTCTAAATGAGTCTGTGGTCTTAACATTTTTATATACAGTATTATAT